GGCCAGGAGCTGCATGAAAGGAGCGTTTGACAAATGCTGTACATCATGGAAGGGACATAGACATCGCAACGGTTACCAAGCTTCATTTTCTTTCTGTTTATTGATAAACGAACAAACCCCGGATCATCTGGATCCAGTAGTACAGTTTTGCAATTTCTTTCTTTACACTGTGTTTTCGCCGTTTCAGTCGGGTATCGTTATGTTTAATGTGATATATTCAGCGGCGGTAGCGAAAGCTCCCCTACAACATCGGGGTTTCATTTTCTCACTCTTTCGTATATAGGTCATTGCAGTATTCTTTGGTTGAACATACTCTAGTTCAACCCATGTTTGAGACGCGGTCCCACGTTCCATGCGCTGCAGGTGTTTGAATACCATGGAGCCGTGACCTCCTTAGGTGGTTCCCCTAGACGTCTAAAAGCAAGGTGATGCAACAGAGCTGTTGGTGTAAAGTGAGAAATTGATTTTTCTTTCTTCATACCGTGACTTCGCCACTTCAGTCCGATGTTATCATGCTACACGTGATAGTTCTAGCAATATTTTATCTTATGCGGATTGTGCAATGCTGCAGCAATCGGTGACATCATTTACAGTTTTCCGCTCTTTTATTTTTTGCCTTACAGCTTTATAACACCGTATTCCGGTGTTTCCGATATTACTTGTTGGAGTGCAATAAAGCGGAAGAGGTACTAGCTGCAGACTGTATTAAGGACTTTAGACTCGGTTCTTTTTCGAGGCAAGATCAAAAGTCAATTAATGATGATCCAACTATTATAGAGGTCGTCGTGCCGCATATTCAGAGGACGGCATTCTGAGGTAGCAAATATTTTTTTCCATTAAATAGGTATGGTAAAAAGTTGTAGTCAAGTTTCTTTTGTATCTAGACGCGCTATACGGTTTTTGAAATCGTCTACAGTCACTGTATTGTTGTTGTTGTTCTGAGTCATTTGCTGAACCGCAAATGTTCGACACCGGCTGATAATTCAATGGCATACGTGAAAAGAACCATATGTATTCTCTGGCTCCTGTGATTCTCTAGACTCACACAGCATAGCACACTGTCCCCCTGCTTCGGTAAGCCTGCAGGGCCATTTACGCAGGCGACGACTCTATGTTGTTGTAGTCCTTGCAGTGAATGGGTGCAGAATGGCACCACTTGTGTTGAACAAGCAGATGTTCGAGCATCAACAAGTATATATCAGTCCAATAGTCATACGTACCATAATAAGCCTTTTCATGGGTTTGCTCAACGGCTAGTTTTCAATACCGTCGGTAAGGATAACATTCACATGACACTTTCTCGGATCCAGAATTTTTGTTCGGTTTGCAACATAGGTTATGTTATATGCTAAATTACGCTGACATAGATTCAACACGACGGTTTCCAGTTCAGTATATGGTTTGCATTATTTATTTTAGCTGAACCGTTATTAATATCTTTTTTAATTTGCTCATGTTGGACTTTGCTGAAAAACGAGTTACTTTGGTGATCTGCTTCAACTAATAAATTTGCTATTTTGATCCGTCCAATCAGCTAGCTTCATTAACGGTTTTTTTCGTTTGTCACAAAGGGGATGTTTAAACCATCGGGGCTGACCTTCATTTTTCATATTTGTTACTAGAGTACATGTTTTTCTTCCTTTAATGTAGCTGGTTCACCGATTTGCCGAAAAGGAGTCGGAACTGTTCTTTTTCTGGACTGACTAAATTCAAATGATACAGAGGGGGACTCAGAGCAGAGGCGTTCAGTTTCACAGTTTAAAGATTCGGCTTCAGATCTAATGACGGCAAGAAATTTTTTCTTAATTCTGTTGAATAGAAAATATTTCTCGCTGTACTTGAATGTAGCTAGTCGAGAAACGGCTAACAAGTTGATGACCTAAAAATAGCCACGACAAATGGTCTGGAAGATCCTGCATAACTTCAGGTCATCTGTGGTGCAAGGTTTACGGCGAAAATCCACTTTGAAGCTGACAGGTGATTCCAATTGGCAAAAACAGTGACTTCTAAAAAATGGGGACAATTCCTTAGTGCGAAATCGAATGAGACATGGGCTGAGTACTCTTCTGACTTTAACTTATAAGGCAATGAAATTACTGTAGTTTTCATCTCTCAACGCTGGCTTTCTTTGCAGTTGTTAATGTTTTTCGTATCCTAAGTGCAATTTTAGGTCAATTGACCTTATTTGCGAAAGTCTGGCGCTTTATGGCATCGGATCAGCTGCTGCTTTCATACCGACGTTCAGCTACTCCCTTCATTCAGCATAGCAAGTAGTCGTTTCGATCTATTTATTGGTAATCGTGGTTTTCAGCGACGAAGGTTTCGAGGTCACGTTGAAGACTTACGCCATTGTGTCAGGACTTTTTCAGACTTTCTACGCTTTAGGGTAGGCAAACGTCATCGAGAGGCATTGCCAACCGTGCAAAATATATTCGTCTTACTTTAGCGCATTCGTCGGATCAACCGGAGGCAGCATGCTGACCGACTGGCTCGGCTTTAATTGGGCGGCAACGTGCATTGCTGTGTTAAACGTGATTCAGGTAGTTATTTTTATCTTCGAGTGCTTTCCTCACTTCCAAGTCGAAGCATGTAAAACATTACTTATGCCTGTAAATTTGAAAGTAAATTGTATTTACGATTTATATCTTTTGCTGATTTTCAGTCAAATATCAGACGGGTCAGGGGAATTTAGTTATCATAACTTGTACGCGTTAAACAACATGACCGTATCTCTCACTGTCTGGCATATTCACATCTGAACAGTGCTGTCCGTTTTGTTAACGAGTCAGTGGTTTGCTACGATGACTTATTTTTTCAAGTGACGTAGCAGCTAGAGATAACATTTTACACAACCCTACAGTTCACTGCCACACTACTCCCTCCCTTCATCGGGCTATTTTTTATATAGCATAGACAGAACTGGTATCAACAAACATACAGCAGTCGCATAACCAACTGATCCGAACAACATAGAACAACAACAGAAGTAA